CCACTCTGGTGGTGTTGTTTTCATTGTTCGTTGTCTATTGTCCATTGTATCTACTTATTTTCTCCGTATTTCGTCACTGATTAAAATTAAAAATGATTAAAATTTATTTAAATTTCGCGGACTAAGATTAATCGTGCATAGTGCCATCTACTGGCTATCAAGCTCAGGACATCACATAATTTACAGCAGCTCCGATGACTCTTCATTCAGTGTCAATCCTAGGAATTTGAACAAGATGAATTTCAGTGTGGCGTCAACTGGTTGGTATTTTTTTTTACTTTTATCAATTAAGTATAAGTAAAAAAAGATTGAGATTGAAAATTCCAAGAATCTTAAATAATGCAAAACCACTTGATCCGACAAATAAAATTAAAATTTTCAACAACAAATGTAATTATTATTGTGAAGCAAAATATCCACCGAATGGTATTTTTTTTATAGATTCTGACGTATCTTCGATCGACGTGTCTCCTGGTAACAGAAAAATCGGGGATTCCCCTGCCAATGGCTCCACCAGTAAAAAAGGAGATTCAACAGAAACTGGCAAAAGAGATGGTAAGAATTCTTGCACAATATAATAATTAAGTGATAAAATTAGTAAAATTCATTCTTGACATCTTTTCGGAATTTTCGGAATAATACTTCAATAATGAAAGATTTCATAATAATGAAACCTATTCGCAAAGAATGTTATAACTGTAATTTAGTCAGTAATTTTTTCATTTATAGAATCGGCGATACATAAATACACGATTGTCAAAAATATCCAGTATGACATACTACTTTCCAACTGCATTAAAAATATTCTCAAAGTTTGTTGCAAGAATGCAGCATAAATATATACATATATCAAAGAATTTTAAATATAATTTCAATAACAATTCATATAAAGTGCTGAACAAAGTCTAAAACGGATTATGAAAACTTCCCGAGCTGTTAACTCCTGCCTTGATTGTAGGAGAGAGTTTGAATGGTTCTGAAATTTGCCTGTAAAAATTATGATTTTTTTTGCCGGATTTTCACCTAAAAAAAGACCTATTAAATATTCAACAGTAATGCCATTAGTGTTCTGGGATTATCCGATACCGCCCGATATCTTTATTGTTGAGCGACGAGTGTTTCTGATCTTACTGGCTAAAAATATCGAGGGCAAAACGAACACAAATATGCATGACTAATGAAAAAATTCACTGATTAATTTTACTCTAAGACAGGCGACTTCCAAACAGAGTATCCCCTAGAGGATCTACATTTCCGTGGACTGAAATCCCTCACAACGGCAACAAAAAACGCAAACGTAGCCATGAAGAGGATTATTGTATGTAATTGCATCTATCAATGGAAAAAAACTTAAACAATAATTACCAAATGGCAAAAATATTTTGATGAATTTTATCGCACAGGTTCGAACTTTAGAGAACACACTTCTCCCAGTGGATCCACTAAACCATTTGAGGCTTCGAAGAATTCCCATATGATGAAATTGAATCAAGAGTTCATAGAAAATGAAGGTATACCATCGCACATGTACATAATTACATTTTTTTTCGATTAATTTCTGTCTAAAATTTTCGTATGACCACTATGCATTGGTTCCGGATAACGAATTTTCGAAATTTCACGATTGATGTATATTGGGACAAATTCTTTGAATTTTTTACAAATGGTATTTGAAAATTATTTGAATGGCTAAGTTTTTCTAATAATTCACCGAATTCTTCTTGAATTATCCGGGATTTCTGAAAAATTTTGCGTATTTGTCTAAGTATGACTGATACTTGATCTCATTCATATTCAATGAATTTTGTGCCTCACCAATATTTGAAAATATTCCAAATTGAATTTTAATACTGAGGTTCACTTGCTGTTGAATATGTTCCGATTTTTTCTTCTAAAAATGAAATTAAAAAATGAACATTATATCTGAAAGCGTAGTATGGAGTGGAATTCAATTGGTCTAGTCCTAAATTATGAAATATTTTCCATTTCAAATTAGAAAAAAAAATTCGGAATTAAATTCGAAAAATTTAATTAAATATTTTCGCTAGTAAAACTAAAAACATGTACCTTTTAGAATATGCCAAATTAATGTTGATTGTCTTCCACAGGTCCACTATTTCGATATGTCTGCCAACGATTCGATGATTTGGCGAAAAAGGTGGATTCTGTAAAGCGCAGTATTTTAAACGATATAGACCAAAAAATTAAAACCGTCAACACAAATATTGCTGCAATGACAGGAGCACAAGTTCCTGTAGATTTGGAAAAAATCCGGAAGACGCTTGACACTGTTCTACCACTAACTCAACTCAATGATTTTCTGGCTTTCGATGCAGAATTAAGTCTCAGTGAAGATAAAAGAACAGCTTTGGTAAAATGCATTTATTAAATAAATATACTTCGTATACTGAACTAGCTCATATTGTCCAAAATCAATCATTTTTTTATTTTTCAGATTGGTCTTTTCGAATATTTGACCGCAAATTGTTCATCTCTTGCATCATGTATGTGCAAACTTTTTCCTGCTATCTTCACTAAAGTTGTCCAGAGCGAGTGCTCTGGCCAAGGAACCAAAAAACGTGGTATACCCTCCAAGCGGAGCTTCAAGGATACAGCCACCTATGCATGCTTCGAAGGTATCAGCACTGCACCCTTTATATAGTTCATACTATTTTTTCATTCAGTTTAACGTGATTCCTTGAGTATTGAGATGATAATTCAATTTTTTTTATATTTCAGTGGTAATGAGAAACAAGTTCCACGACACAAATAAACTAATTACGAAGGTAGGAAATTGGTTGGCGAGGTGGAGCCATCGTGAGGGTCGCCGGAAAAATCGCCCAAATCCAATGGCTGATCCCCGTGCTTCATAATAGTATATTATGCAACACGTGCGTAATATATTTTTTGACTCGTGGGAGGTTTGTAACACGAGCCGAAGGCGAGTTTTACAATCCCACGAGTCGAAAAATATATTACGCACGCGTTTCATACAAAATTTTATGTCATTGCGCCCGGAATCCGCGATTTAACCGAGCGAAGCGAGGTTAGAATCGCGTGATTACGGGCACCGATGGCATAAAACTTTATCACTTACTGTACTACTTATGTTTATCTCATTTGTTACGGACAATAAAGTCGATAAGAACCAACATAATTTTCTAAAAAATTATTTCGTAAATTGGTTTTATAATACCCCAATAATTGGCCAGTTGCATGAACAATGATTGGCCAATGATACGGCGTTGATATTGGGCGGATATCGGTGCCGTTGAGCGGCATGAGGTAACGCTCCAATGATCGGCAGATGATTGGCCGGTCATCGGCGCCGATCATCGGCTGACTTGGTGCCGACCTCCGACCAACGAGTGGCCGGTTTGTACAGCCCTACATGGGAAGTGACTTAGTGAGATAACTAACCAGGACGAAAAATTTAGACAAATGTAAAATTGGAGAGTTTGCTCATTTCCTAGGTTGCTTAGTTTTTTGTTGCCCAACTATTCCATATGGTTATGCTCATATAAAGAAATTTGAAAGAGTAAAGTATTTACCCCCCTTGAAATCCGTCGAGAATTTTGAGGCGGTAATGGAGTTGACAGGTCATTTGCAAGATGATTTTCACTGGTGGGAGAAGAATGTTAATTGGAGATTTGCTAACATTGCGGTAACAAAAATATAGTCCAACTATATTTTCAGATGCGTCTGGAACAGGGTGGGGGCGGTTTGTAATGGGAAAACAGCCCATGGTTTCTGGAGCGATCAGGAAATTAATTTTCATATTAATTATCTGTAACTTCTCGCAGCCTTTTTGGACTTAAAATATTTTGCAACAGAGCTTAAAGATTGTAACATTCTGCTTAGAATTGATAACACTACAGCGATATCTTATATCAATCGCATGGGTGGTGTTCATTTTGAGGAATCTATCCCAAATTATTTGGACGTGGTGTAAACAACAAGGGATGATAATTTTTGCCTTTTACATCTCTTCGAAAGACAACGCAGAGGCAGGTTTTGAATCCAGAAGATTAAAAACTGAGACCAAATTTGAATTATCAAATGAAGGGTTGAATAAAATAGTTAAAACATTTGGAATGCCGGATATTGATCTTTTCGTTTCAAAAATTAATAAAAAATATGATAATTATATTTCTTGGACGCCTGATTCAAACTCGATAGCAGTTGATGCTTTTATAATTGAATGGAAAAACCTTTTTTCTACGCGTTTCCACCGTTTATATTAATTACTAAAGTTTTACAAAAAATAAAGTCCGAAGGTTTACGGGGAATAGTGGTGGTTCCTCAATGGCCGGCCCAGCCGTGGTTTCCTTTGTTTTGTTCCTTACTGAAAACAGAGCCTTAATTATTGATGGAAGTTAAAAAGCCTTATTTGCGGTTGACAGAAAATCTCACCTATGGAAGAACCTTACCCTGGTGGTCGGCATGGTATCAGGGAAGCCTTCAGGAAGAAGGGTATTCCAGAAGACTCTTTGAATATTTCAACATCATCTTTGAGTGACTCTTCACTCAAACAATATGATCATGCCTTGAAGAAGTGATGGAATTTTCGCATATCGAATAAATTCTCCGTTTATAATACTGAAACACCCACTATTCTCAAATTTCTAACGGTAGAATTTAAAAGAGGAGCTTCTTACGGCACTCTAAATAGCATACGATCAGCTATTGCACTCATTCTTGGTCCAGAAAGTGGACAGAATGAGATTATTAGAAGGTTTTTCAAAGGTTTATCTAGATCAGAGGTGGGCAACCTCAGCTCTTGGAGCTACTCCAGCTCCCAACCTCCGTTAGGCAAAATTGTTCCAAGCCATAAAGTTTATGGCTGCACCCCTTTCGGGCCCATGATGCCCTGCACGTAGGCGAGAGTAGTGGGGATATTCGGCAGGAACTTGGTGGTAGTAAAAGTGAAATAGAAAAATTTTCTATCTCTCTAATGATTAGAATTAAAATTAAAATTTTCTATCTTTCTAATGATTAGAGAGATAGAAAATTTTTCTATTTCACTTTTACTACCACCAAGTTTCTGCCGAATATCCCCACTACTCTCGCCTACGTGCAGGGCATCATGGGCCCGAAAGGGGTGCAGCCATAAACTTTATGGCTTGGAACAATTTTGCCTAATGGAAGTTGGGAGTTGGAGTAGCTCCAAGAGCTGAGGTTGCCCACTCCTGCTCTAGTGGAAATATTTTTTCAATTACTTTTTTTTTTATTATCTTTCTGATTGGTTATTGGTTACTTTTATTCATCTTGATAAAAGAGGACTTCGTACCTTTCATAGATTTCTTGAAGTAATTTTGAAATTATAATTGAAATATTGTTTGGGAAACAATCGTTAAATGTTGTTAATAGACCTGAATTGACATACATTTCCAAATTTTTCATTTCTATATTTGCCGCTCTCGATGCCAAATTTTAATGAACAAATTTTTCACAATCTTTAATTGATAATGAAATATTACTTTCTCAAGTTCATGAGCATTCCACATTCATTTACACTTATGAATATTGAATCTAAATCATCATCTTTTAATTCCATTTTTTTATGAAACAGAAAACGTCCAAACACGTGCATAAAAATTCAAACCATTTTGCCCTCACATTTCAATGACGCGCGTGCGCCATCGCTCGATGGTACCCTACCACACAAATATACGACAACCCTGGTAATCACGTTAGGTCCCTTACAATTGGAACCTTAATAATTTTATGGTTACAGCTCCGAGCCTACCTGAGGTTGCCCACCTCTGATCTAGATCAGGGCTGGGCAAACTCTACTCTGAGAGCAAGTCGTGCTCCCGACCTCTATTAGTGCGTAACAAAGGGTAGACGAAAGCCCATTGTATCGGGTGATGGGCCTTTATGACCCAGATCGTAGAGGCCCTTCTCCTCCGCTGAGATCAACCGAAGTGGGGGTGACGCTTAAGAAAAGGAAAAGAGGGGAAATGAGACTCAAGTAAAGGAAAAGCAGCGAAATAAGTCGATCAGAAAAATTTCAATTTTTTTTCATGTGCGCATTAAAAAATAATCAGATGCGCGACAAGTTTTACCCTTCCGGAGGATTAATTCTTGCCAGATGCTTCATGGGATACTCCCCACCTTAGTACCTGTAAAGCCCCCACTACTGCCCCCACTATGCTAGTACTAAGACCCTTATTATTGAAATGGTTCTAAACTTTATTGGATTTCTAATTCGAGTTTATAGCTCTGCTCCGAGCTACCTGGAGATTGCCCATGCCTGATATAGATTATGGCTATCGCAGCCAAAATATGAGTCCACATGGGATCCAAAGATAGTTTTACATTTTTTTAAAGATTTACCAAATAAAAACTTGCCTTTGGATGTTTTAAGTAAGAAATTAGTCACCTTGTTAGCGTTAGTTACTGGCCAAAGGATGCAAACTTTAGCTCTAATTGCTGTAACAAACATTGTAATCAAAAACGAGTTAATAGAAATTAAGATTGTTAGTAGAATTAAAACATCTGAGCCAGGGAAGAGTCAACCTATGCTGATTTTACCGTTTTTCAAAGAAAACCTGAACATCTATCCTGCCGAGACTCTTCAAGATTACCTGAATGTCAAAAAAAGCATTAGAAAAGATAGCCACGCTCTATTTATTTCGTTTAAAAAGCCTTATCGCAAAGTTTCGACTCAAACATTGAGTAGATGGATGAAAGATACCCTTGACGAAAGTGACGTTGATACAGAATTTTTTTCTGCTCATAGTACCAGACATGCGTCTACTTCTTCAGCAACAAAGCTGGGAGTAGGCATTGATTTGATTAAAAAATGCGCTGGTTGTACAAAAAATTCGTTAACTTTTGCTAAATTTTATAATAGACCTATAATCCAAGATTATAGACGTTTTGCTAAAACTATTTTAAGAGGTTGATGCCTGTTCTTTTCTTCTTTGAAGAACCTTTGTTTTTTGTAATACGTATTTTGCGTTTTCTAGTATTACTTTTTATAATTCACTTGTTTTTGAGTAAATTCCTTGGTATCAAGGATTCCAATTTAATTTATTGTATTTTTATTTCATCAACCGTAGCCAACTCTAAACATCTATTTGTTCATCTTGAGGAAGAGGCGCGTAATACAATTGTATAATTAACCGAACTTACCTGCAGGTGAACTTCTATCATAATTGTATGAAGCGACTCTTCCGAAAAAATGAGTCCATCCCAATACCCTTCGTCCGGTGGACACCCTTTTCTTTTATAATTTTGTGTGGCTACGGTTACACTTTGAAGACAATGAGTTCTCTGGATGGGGGGCCTGAGTCATGACAGACAGGTGTTGGGTCGATAGATTTTTGTTTTCTAGCTTTAAAAACTTGTGGTGTCTCGATGGGTAGAAAAGGTACTACGTGTTCATCTTTTCGGAAGAGGCGCTTCATAAAATTATGATTGAACTTCACTTACAGGTAAGTTCGTTTAATCATATAATTTTTAATATGAAAATGAAAAAATTGAAATAGAAATATTTGCAGTGAAAAATCAAGGAAATAGTTTTCTTTCATTTCTATTGTAAAGTCGAATTTTACACTCGTAATTTTGACTGTTAAATAAGAGAATTGTAAAATCCAGTGGAAACCGCAGAAAGGTGGTGGATGTCTTTCATGATAAGAAATAGAGAGAAATGAAAGGTAAAACAATGAAGGAAAAAATTCAGCCGAAATTATTTTGATTCTTAATATTTTCAAAATAGTTACGTAGAAAAAACCGCACGAATGTAAGATTCTTGAAAAATCAGACAGTTGTATGATGTTGTTATGAATTGTCAAGTAGTATCAAATCTATTAGGTCTTAAACTAATAATTTATTTCTGGGTGATAGCATCAGATATTTAGCGACA